ACTTTATACTTTGTTCTAGCTTTTATATTCAAATGAGAGGAAGTATGAGGCAATGTAAAGGCCATGAATTCTAAACTATTTAAGTTGGTTTTTTTTTGAGACAGGGTCTCACACTGTTGCCCCGGCTGGAGTGCCATTCCATCACGGCTCACTGCAACCTCAAACTCCCAGGCTTCAAATGATCCTTCCACTTCAGCCTCCTGAGTACCTGAGACTGCAGGCACACACCACCATGCCCAGCAAATTTTTAAAATTCTTTTTATAGACAGGGTCTCCCCATGTTGCCCAGGCTGGCCTCAAACTCCTGGACTCAAGCCATCCTTTCACCTCAGCCTCCCAAAGTGCTGGGATGACAGGCGTGAGCCGCTGGGCCCGGCCCTATTTAATTTTGATTAATTTCAATTTAAGTAGTGTGATTGATACTAAGTAATTGTACTGCACAGACCTAGAGCTCCCACGCTTGACTGCCCCAGTGAATATGGAGGCTCCCTGGCTCCCTTCTAGGTGAAGGTGTCAGAGTACCCAGCTAGAGCCTGGTACACAGTTGGTGCTCAACACAGAGCAGCTGAGGGGCTTATGGGCGCCCAGGCCTGATTCCCATTAAGTGACAGATCTAGACTGGCAGGGCTGGAAGGGAAGAAGGAAGGCATGTGTGTGAGCTGCCACCAGAGAGTCACTTTCCCCCATCCTCTGAGGGAAATGTGGGGAAGGACTAGCCCTCCGCGAGGTCAGGACAGCCCCTTGGTGACTAAGGCTCCTAGGAATCCACACCCAGCTGGATTCATTGACCACAGAAAACCTTCTCGGAAGGGCCCAGCCTCCAGCAAGCTGGGGTGATATGTCAGGGAGATTAAGGCGCCTCTGGTATGGCTCTGGAAAGCAGCCAACATACCCTGAGCTGTCATCACGACAGATCCAGATGGGAGCTCACCCAGACAGACCTAAACTCATTTGACACACAGTGGAAGGCACGAGGCCTCAGCCCTGATGGCCGCTGCAGCCCACCGATGCACTGCTGGCTCCCGGAGGCCCTGTTCCCACACCTCGGGCCTGAATCAGGCTGTCCTCTCCCCTCTCCCTTGACTGGCACCCCCTTCCCTGGCTGATTGAGGTCTCTGACTAAACCACATCTCCTCTGGGAAGGCTTCCTAGTCCCCCCTTCCCAGGCTGAGTTGGCCCCCCCAATCATTAATCATTAGCGAAGAAGTCTCCTGCTGCTCCCCCCACAGCATAACCCAGGCAGAGGGCCGTGCAGAACGACTCTACTGCATGAGGCTTCCACGGGGTGGCAGCTGCACCTGTGACTTGGTGCTCATTTTGGCCACCACAATTTCTCTTCCCTGCTATAGCATCTCAGTCTGTGCAGCTCAAGCCTCCCCAGAAGTATCTCTCAGGCCACCTCCTGCCCATTAGACCACTCCTTGCTCCTTAGGCCATCCCTAGCCTCACCCCCACAAATATACCCTCCAACTGTGAGGATTCCCCATCAAGGTGTTTTCAAATGACATGGTAACAAGCAGAGACTTCATTTGATTTTCATAGATTCTTATTTCCTTGTCAGAGCCACTTAAAAGGGAGCTGGGTGAATCCCCAGCTGGTAACTGTGAAGGGCCCGAGTCAGAGTGAGAAAAAGAAAGGGTATTATTGCATGTAGGGTAACCAGGGAAGGCTTCGAAGAAAAGGGGGATTTGACCTGTGACTTTAGTGACAAGGAAGGACATTCTAGGCCAAGGAAAGAGCATGGGTGAAAGTGTGGAAGCCTGAGACAGGATGCGTCATTCCAGGACCCTGCAGTGGTTTAGTGTCATGGGAGCTGGAGGGGTGATGGAAGGAGGAGGTAATGCCGAAGGGGTGAGAAAAAGCAGGGCGGGAGTGCCTTGTCGGGGAGCCTAGACTTGATGCTGGAGGCTGGGCTTTCCTAGGCGTGTTCTCCAAACACCAGGCCCAGGGAGTTCTCCGCTCCAAAGGAGGGTTGGGATTCTGTATTCCCCACTTGGAAAATTCCTCCAACACAGACCACTATTGTAAAGGCTCTCATAGTAACTACCTGGGGGTATCTGCAAGGCACCGGGCCATGTTCTCACCACGTTGCATGCACCACCTATGACCCTCATCAAAACCCTGTGAGCTAGGTACTGTTGTATCATTCCCATTTTACAGGGAAGTTAAGAAATGTTCCCAAGGCCACACAACTAATTGATGGTAGAGAGAAGGTTTCACTCTAGCAGTCTGACTTTGAGCTGGCCTAGAGGAAACAGCTTGCTTAACTTTTTGTCTTGTCCAGCATTTCTCAAATTTCTTTTAATGTAACTATGGAAAAAGTGTTTTTCACATCTAGTGACATTGTAAAAGGCAGTTGATTCTTTGTCAGTCGTGAGCTATTATGGAGTTCTGATCTAGGAGACTCGATTTGATTTGCAAATAATCTTAGTAAACTCATTATCAGTCACTTACATTTTAGTGTGAATTAGTCCTTTCTTGGGGTCTCTCCACTTTCTTATAAGCTCCCTGAGGGCAGGTACTGTCTGATTTACTGCTGTGTTCCTAGTACCCAGGAGGTATGGCACTAAATGGTGCTATAAGACCATTTGCTAGAATGAACTGAAACTCTCCTGTTGAAGACCATAGGAACAGCGGAAAGAAAGGCTGTAGTCTGGGAGGCAGGTGGTGGTAGGGTCAGCGCGTGGGAGAGAGAGAGTCAGTGGTGGCTGTGGGGGAATGTCCTGGGAATTGGAGTCTTGGAGCTGGAGTGGAAAGCAAGACTCATCTATATCATGACACAGCTAAAGCCCAGGTCTGGGCTGGGTGTGGTGGCTCATGCCTACAGTCCCAACACTTTGGGAGGCCAAGATGTGAGGGTTGTTTGATCCCAGGAGTTGATCAAAACACAAATCCTACCTACTCTGCATGTTTTCTCTTCTGGGGAGTAACTGACCACCTGATTATTTGGAGAATGAGGCATTTGTTGGAGTTGAAGGTGTAGCAAGAAACTTGGTTTTAAGAATCAAAGTCAGGCCGGGCGCGGTGGCTCAAGCCTGTAATCCCAGCACTTTGGGAGACCGAGGCGGGTGGATCACGAGGTCAAGAGATCGAGACCGTCCTGGTCAACACAGTGAAACCCCGTCTCTACTAAAAATACAAAAAATTAGCTGGGCATGGTGGCGTGTGCCTGTAATCCCAGCTACTTAGGAGGTTGAGGCAGGAGAATTGCCTGAGCCCAGGAGGCGGAGGTTGCGGTGAGCCGAGATCGCGCCATTGCACTCCAGCCTGGGTAACAAGAGCGAAACTCCGTCTCAAAAAAAAAAAAAAAAAAGAATCAAAGTCAGAGAAAAAACACTCTCAGACTTGTATTCATCCCCATCCCCACCTCCAAGCTACTGCTAAAAGCAGGGGCTTTGGAAGGTTGGTTTGTGGAAATGAAGTTCCTTAGAAGATACCTGGGCCCATTTCTCTCATTCTAAAAAGGACAAGACAGGGACCCAGAGAGGGCAAGGTCACAGAGCTGATTAAGTTGGCATCAGAATCCTCCCAGTCGGGAGCTCCTTCCATGGCTTCAGAGCCTATGACCCAATCCCCCTCTCCAACCCTCCCCGACCCCCAAGAGAGCTCCCCTCGGCCCCATCCTCTTCATTCTCTGCCCCTGTGCGCACCCCACACTTTACCTATCACCCTCACTGCAGACTGCACTTCCCCTTCCCTGCGCCACCTGTCTGCCCCTAACAAGATTACAGATCCTTGGTGAAATAGAGAAGGGTTAATTCCCTCTGGCTTTACAGGGCAGGGCCTGGCAGGCCACAGGAAATAGCAAAAAGAAACCCTTTCTCCAAAGCACTAAGTGTAATGATGACCCTAAGAATCTATGCCCCTGTTCAGCACACCAGGGTTTAAACTGTGTTTCCAAATATCTTCTGGGTGGAATTTTGTAGCAGCCCTAACAAAGTAGATGCTGTTATCATCTCTATTTTACAGATGGGGAAACCGAGGTACAGTGAGATCAAATGCTTGTCCGAGGTCACACAGTTGTAAGTGGCAGAGCTAGGACCTGAATGCATGTGTCTTGGCGTCTGTTATCTTTAAAAATAATAGGCCCAGAGAGCCTGTGGGGTGCCCAGCATTAGGCTTGAAACAGCCCTGAGGCATATGCATCCTATTTCCCTGTGAGTGGCCCAGCCCCGCTGTGAACTCAGGTCACCTGGACTCGAATCTACCTTCCCCACAATACTGCCAAGCACCCTCGAACCTATCTGCCTGTTCATGTGGTGGAAACCAGGCTGGCTGAGGCCTGACTTCTGACATCTGTGACCATGGCCAAGGGACTGGATCCTGGGGTCTCAGTCTCCCTTTCTGAAAAATGAAGGTAGGAACCCTGGGATCTTTGGGACGATTCCCTGTGATTAGTGTAGGTAAGGCAACCAGCCCAGGCCTGGCCCACAGCACATGCACTTACCCACCTCAGTTTCTTTATCTGGCAAATGGCCATATGAATAGTACTTATTTCTTGGGATTGGTGTTAGGATTAAATATGCCAGAACATGTAACATTCTTCTAGAATGGCACCTGGGGCACAGTAAGTGCTTAATTAATGTTGAGGATAACTGGTATCTTACTGTGTCTTATTTTCAGTTCTTTCTGGAAGGAAGCAGGAGTAAAGATCAAACCAACCAAGCAAATGTTCCTCTTGTTCCTCCCAGTACCTGGTCCACTCAACTGTTTAAAAGGAGCACTTGGCTTTGAGGTCTGAACTCCCAGATCACGTGGTCTGCTCTAATTTCCCAGGCCCTAATCTTCTCCCAGCTCCTAATGATGCAGCTGGTAATAGGATTGTGGCTTCCCTGCAGGGCGGCCACACAGGCATGGCTGTGGGGCTAGCGACTGGTGCTTAGCACCTCCGACCACCTGCCTGCTGAGGGGCTAGAGCCCTCAGCCCAGACCCTGTGCCCCCAGTCAGCCTTCCGTACATGGAATGGTGCTGTGCCCCTTGCCAACAGGCCAAGCTCGCCATGGTGCCACGTGCCATCCTGGCGCGAGGGAGGGACGTGTGCAAGCAGAACGGACTACTCATCCTGTCTGTGCTGTCTGTCATCGTGGGCTGCCTCCTCGGCTTCTTCCTGAGGACTCGGCGCCTCTCACAACAGGTCAGCCACCTGCAGCATCTCGGGGTCCCTGTCCGGGAGGGATGTGTGGGCCTGAGGGATAGAGGGTCTCATTCTCCCAGCTCCCTGGTGCCATGATGAGTCCCTCTGCCCCTCTGGGTCCCGGTTTTCTCATCTGTAACATGGGTGTGATAAACACCTTGCAAGACTCGAGGGAGGAACCAGTCACGTGGCTGGGAATGATTACAAACCCAGCACCACCAGGTGAGGAGAGGCGAGGGTGCCTCGTGATGACAAACACAGGGGCGAGAGCTACTCTGGGGAAAGAGGGGGTCTTGTATGAGTTCAAACAGGCACCATAGAACACCTCCTAAAGGCTACTCAAACGACAAGAGATCCAGGAAGGGTGCTCTAGGCAGAGGTGACAGCAGGCACCAGGTGCGGGGGCCAGAGCACAGGGGCCAGGAGGCCCGTAGGTTCCGTCACCACGCATGGGCTTGCGGCAACCATGAGACGCTTTTGGGCAGAAGAGTGACAGGCCAGTCTGAGCTTGGGAGACCCCTCAGCTGCTGAGTGGAGAGGAGTGGGATTGGGGCAGGCAGGGGGCTGAGTAAGGGGCAGCTTGGGGACAACGTGGCAGTGCGGATGAAAGAGACAGATATGAGAACTGTTTTCAAAACAGGAAGCTTCAGGATGTGGGGGCCGATTGGATATGGGCTGGGGGACAGGCAGGCGAGCCAGGGCCTGGGTTTCCAGCCTGTGTAACTGCCAGGGGGAAGCTGCCTTGCCTGGGAAAGAGCCCCTTTCCCTGTCAGCCCCCATCTCCTACAGGAGCGGGAGGGCCACTCCCTTGGTGTTCAAGAAAGAAATCATTGTTCAACTGGTAAGCAAGGCTCTATCGAGGACTAATGTGGTGGGGGGTAGGTGTCAAGACCTCCTGGGGAGAGAGATGGGGCTCAATCACAAATACAACTAAGAAGAAGACAGCTGGAGATTTATAGCCAGCGAGCAGAGGGAGGGGGTCGGGGCCAGAAAATGACTAGAGGAGACATCAGGGGAGGGGGATTCCTGCTGAAGGCAGGCCAGAGCGATCAGACATTGATCTGGGATGAGGAATCCGATCCGGTATCGGGATGCTGAGGGGTGAGGGATCCTCACTACACTGACTTGGCAGGACTTTTGCTACAGCTAGAGACGATGCAGGCTGAAGACAAGCCCCAGGGACGAAGCCTAGTGGAAAAGAGCGCTCAGAGGAGCCTGTGTAAAGTGTGGCCGAGGAGAAAGGCTTTGTCAATGGGCTCCTGGAAGATATGCTATTCCCAAAAAGTCCTCTTCCCACAGCTCACTGATGTCTAATGCTTTCTCTGCAGCTGGGGTCAGCCATTAGACTTAGTCTCCCATTAAAAGGAAAACACCCACTGCTGGAGAGCTGAGCCATGACTAGAGTGACCCTGTTAAGCAGGTATTTACGAAGTGACCCTTGAGCAGGTATTTAGGAAGAAGCATGGACTCCGGAGGCAGAGGAACCCTGAACTTTCATTCTGCTAGCAAATGGCTGGGCAAAATCCTCTCCCCTCTCTGGGCCTCAGTTTCCTTATCTGTAAAATGGGATGTGGGGCAGTATATGTCTACTGGAATTGTTATAAGGAATAAACCAAGGATTCGTCAGTGCCCAGCGTACAGTAGGTGCTTACTACATGTTACTTCTCCCTCCCTCCCTTATCTACCTGTTCAAGTCCTACCTACATCAGGAGCCATCTCATCTCCCATAGCTGATGAAAAGTAACTGTAACTGCACTGCCAGCTGCCTGGTGTGTCTTTCTCCCACCAGGGTGCACCCTGTTAAACAACACATGGGTTTTTTGGTGTTTTTCTAACCAAAATGTGAGCCTAGCCCTGTGTCAGGCCCAGAGAGAACACTCAAATATTTGCTGCATTAAACTGGCAATGGAACAAACAATCTACAATCTGTTCTCTTTAATTTTCCTCAGCAACAAAAATATATCTCCTGCAGGAAGATTATTTTGTGAAAACAAATTGGAATGCCTATTGTGAAAAGCCAAACTCATCTGGGGCCTCCTTTGCCAAAGCTGCCTTTCCCATCTGTTTGGAAATGCAAATGTATTCTGGTCTGGATTAACCTGCCAGATAAACTGAAGGAAGGATGTAGAGTCTTAGAACAATTATTTGGCAGGAATTGGCTTTCTAGGCATCTTACTTCAAAATCCGGGATTTCTCTGTTTGATCTCTTTGCCTGTGACTCAGAAACTAAACGCTTCTTGTTTCGTAAGCGTATGCAACAGGCAAAAATTATAAACAATTTGGAAAATGGTAGAATGTTCTATTTGTGAAAAGAACTTACAAAATTACAGGATTTTATCTTGGGATATGAGTATCTCACTTAAAACTCCTGAGCACTTTGAGGCTTCCAGTTAAATCATGGCGAATCACAGTTGTATCCATTTTTTTTCCTCCTCCCTAGAACTCCACTAACATGTTAGTAATGGGATTTTTAAAGAAAAAACCACCAAGAATAAGGAGAATATAAAAGGAGACAGTTGAGAAAAGAAATCGAGAGGCTACAACAAATTAGACAATATGGAGATGGGTGGAGCACAGAAAGCTGGAATCTTAGTCTGTAGAAGTCGATAGCAAGTCAGTTTATCTTGTAAACTCCAGAACATAAAAGAGCAAGATGCTGACTGACTGACGGCCCTCACGCAGGGGGTCAGGTGCTGATCTGGCTTTTTCACTGGGGCTGGGTGGGATGGTAGAGGAGTCTCCTTTATAGCAGAATTTAGAGATCTTTTCTCTGAGGCTTCAGTGAGAGAAGCCTCTTCCTGCCTTTGGCTGGGGAATGAGATGGTGCCTAAGCTCAGCACTAAGAGGGTGGGGTGGGGGTTGAAAGCCCGGGCAGGGTTTGGAATTTTGTAACCAGAAGGGTTAGACCCCTAGTCTAACTCATCCTCCCATCTCTACCCTCTTCCTGACCCAAGGAACCAGAGAAGCTGGACTTGGGGGCATTGGGCCACCCTTGTGTGTGCTGGGGAGAGGGCTGTGCTGAGGCACCTTATTCAAACTAATTAGCAGACATCTGTGTCTGAGTGGGGTCCCCAGCACGGCTTCTGATCGCTGTCAGCTGAGCTTAGGCACCGTCTCATTCCCCAACCAAAGGCAGGAAGAGGCTTCTCTCACTGACACCTCAGAAAAAAAAAATCTCTAAATTCTGCTGTAAAGGAGACTCGTCTACCATCCCACCCAGTCCCAGTGAAAAAGCCAGATCAGCACCTGTCCCCCTGCATGAGGGCCGTCAGTCACTTGACAAGCCCTACTCCTACACGCAGACGTTTAGCGCTTCAGACGTGCACAAGCAGAAAGCCACGCCACCAGAAGTGTGAGGAAGCTGCTAACGTGAAAGAGTAAACAAAGAGAAAAGGGGTCTCTAATGAGAGAAATAAAGAGGAAAGGGGGTCTCTAGTGAAACAGAGACAACGTGGGGAGAAGGAAACTCTGTAAATCTCCGCTGAAGCTTTCCGGAGCTGTGAGCGAAGACATAGTTACCGTATAACAGAGGGGATGCCAAAAAGAGAACAAGAAATAATCTGGGGAAATTAAAAATAGAACTAAGATAAAAATATGAGTAGCTGCCCAACACATAGGAAAGACAAGTATTCGAAGTGTTGGAGACCCTAAATACCCTGATTTGAACATTACACAGTGTATGTAACAATATACCACTGTACCCCATAAATATGTACAAATATTATATAGTAATAGAAATTTTCTGGCTAGGCCTGGTGGCTCACACCTGTAATCCTAGCACTTTGGGAGGCCAAGGTGGGTGGATTGCCTGAGCCCAGGAGTTCAAGACCAGCCTGAGTAACATGGTGAGACCCCATCTCCGAAAAATAATAGTAAATAATAACGTCAATAACCAGGATAAAGTTGTAGAAATCTCCCAGAAACTAAAACAAAAAGAAATGAAAATAGAAAAAGAAAATATAAAAAAATTAGAATGTTCAACGTCCAGCTATATAGTGACACTTTTAGAGAGAGCTCACAGAAGAAAAATTGAGAAGTAGTTTGCAGAGAATCTAAGCAGTTTCTCAGAAGTGAAACGTAAGCATAGCGCTGTCAATTTTGTTTATAAAAGAAAGAAAACCCCATACTATGGCACATCACCATGAAATTACCGAAAAGTGGAGATAAACAGATGATCCTTGGATGGTTCTGGTGGAATAAAACTGACCTCATCTACGGAACAGGAAACCAGAATGGTTTTGAACACCTTAAGCCACCCTGGAAGCTAGAAGACAAAGGAGAAACGCCTTCCAAACCTGAGGGGAAATTATTTCCAACTAAGAATCTCACACATGGCCAGGGTATTATCAGAGGTAAAGGTAGAATAAGGGCATTTTTACTCATGTAAGGACTCAGAAAAATTTCTCTCCTATGCACTGTTACTCAGAAATCTACCAAAGAAGATGTTTCAGCCAAACAAGGAAGTAAACCAAGAAGACAAGGGATCCCAGAAACAGGGGACCATCTAAAGAATAAGTCCCAGAATGACAGTCAAGAAGAGAACCATGACAAGCACTGGGCCTAGAGAGTAGCCGGTCCGAACTGGGGCAGGAAGGTGGAGAGCTCACAGACCAGGGTCCCAGGCAGGATAAAAGAAAGAACCGACGTGCCTGAGAGAGCAGAAAATACTATTGTTACGTAGTTTAGTAGACATGTTAAAATGTTTGGAAGAAATTAATGGGTGATTCCCAGAAATCAAGACATAAAAGTCAGTCAATTAACGTTAGGCTACAAGCAAGGAGGCATGGTTGTAGTACATTACTTGGCTCAATGGTAAACACTATTTGACAATCAAAACATTGTGAATTTTGACTACTGATTTACCTAAAAATTGATATAAATATAATGGTGAAATGGGTTGGAGAGAAAAGGAGTGGGAACTAAGTCCTTACCAATCATAGTAGGGCAGTTCATAGATGTCAAAATGATGAAGCAAGAAATAGCATTATGACCGTATTATTTAGAAATAATGATACTATGGGAAACAGCTACAAGAGTTGAGCATGTTCACTACCAGGAAGCTGAAAGACAGGGATAGAGAGAGGTGAGGAAAGAGTTGCCTTTTTATCAGTAGAGCACCTTTTTTTTTTTTTTTTTTTTTTTTTGAGACAGATTTTCCCTCTGTCACCCGGGCTGGAGTGCGGTGGTGCAGTCTCGACTCACTGCAACCCCCGCCTCCTGGGTTCAAGCAAATCTTGTGCCTCAGCTTTCTGAGTGGCTGGGACTACAGGCATGCACTACCACACCCACCACAGCCAGCTAATTTTCGTATTTTTGGTAGAGACAGGGTTTTGCCATGTTGGCTGGGCTGGTCTCGAACTCTTAACCTCAAGTGAACCCCCTACCTTGGTCTCCCAAAGTGCTGGGATTACAGGCATGAGCCACCGAGCCTGGCTGTTAGAGCACTTTTAACTTAAATAATATATATTTGTGGGGGCCGGGCACAGTGGCTTGCGCCTGTAATCCTAGCACTTTGGGAGGCTGAGCTGGGAGGATTGCCTGAGTCCGGGAGTTCAAGACCAGTCTGGGCAACATAGTGAGACCCTATCTCTACAAAAAATACAAAAAATTAGCTGGGCTTGGTGGCACATATCTGTGGTTCCAGGTACTTAAGAGGCTGAGGTGTGAAGATTGCTTCAGCCCAGGAGGTGGAGGTTGCAGTGAGCTGAGATCATGCCACTGCACTCCTACCTGGGTGACAGAATGAGACCCTGTCTCAAAAAACAAAACAAAACAAAAAGAATATATACATGGACTAAAGTTAATTAAAAATAACTAGTCATGGTGGGCATATTTTTTAAAAAAGCAGATTTTCTGGTGCATTGGAAGTGGTAGCAGAACAGCACTAGGAGGCCAGATTCCTGGTCCTGGGCTGTGGTTAACATTGGGTGGGTCTGTGGCCTCCCTCTTGCGGTTCAGCTTCCTCATCTGTCACATGAATGGGCGGGGCCAAAAGCCTCAGATCATTAACCAAGTATGTTTGGCTTTGGTTTAAAAAAAAGTTGCAAGTACAAAAATTTAACTTGGATGATGTTTGAAAGTCCATTCGCCTGCCTCACCCACAACCTCACCCTCTCAATCAGGAAAGCGGGCCCCACGCCAGGGTTGCCAGAAGTAGCAAAACTGAATTAAGTTAAAAAATTTTAAAAACAGCACACCCAGATAAACTGGAGTTTCAGATAAACAGCACATGTTTTTAGTATAAAAATGAGTTACATGTTGTTATCTGAAAGTCTGGGCTTAGCAGTCCTCCTCCTTCAGTTGTCAGATCCTGGTCATGGGAGACAGCTTACTGGACAAGGCGTTGGTGCCTTAGTCAAAGATCCGTGGACAGGCTGGAGCCACTGGCCTAGGAAGGGGTCAGGCGTAAGAACTCTGCCTAAGGAGGCTCTTTCTACTGTGTGCTGTCGCACCCATCCAGTCCAATCCTCCCTCTCTCCATTTTAGGGGAGAAGCGCTAGAGAATGGACCCAAAACAGATAGAGAAACTGAGCTGCAAGAAGGCCATGGTCTGCTTAGAACTGGGTCTCCTCACTAGCTAGGCTGGGAACTTCTCGGGGCAGGAGCCCTGCCTAGTTCATGTTGGGGTACCCACTGTGACGCCCGGCACGGTGTGGGTTGAATGAACGCGTGAACAGTACTCGGCTCTGTCCTCGCCATCTGCTACATGAGAGAGATTTTATTCCATGGCTAGGCAGATGCGTGGTACAGATGGGAGGAGAGCTGTTATTTGCAGGATTACTGAACATTTCCTGTCATCTGGGCTCTGTGCTAAGTGCTTGCGTGCATTCTCCAGTTTAAGCCCCGCAATGACCCTGTGAGGCAGAGCGGTCCCCCCTTATCCGCAGTTTCGTTTTCCGTGATTTCAGTTACCCATGGTCTGAAAATGGGTGAGAACAGTACTGTAAGATATTTGAAGAGAAACCACATTAACATAACGTTTACTGCAGTATGTTATTCTAATTGCTCCTTTTGATTGTTACTGTCAATCTCCATGTCTAATTTATGAATTAAGTTTTATCATAGGTAAGTACATATAGGAAAAACATAACGTCCACAGGGCTGAGTCTCTGTGGTTTCAGGTACCCACTGGCAGTCTCAGAACATGTCCCCCTGAGAATAAGTGGGGACTACTGTACTTATTACCCTCATGTTACAGATGAGAAAAATGCAAAACTCAGAGAGTTCACAGAAGATGCTTAAGGCCACACAGCTTGTGGGGGATTGGTGGAGGGGAGTGTTTACTAGGATTGGAACCCAGGTCTGTGGCTCCAAAGCTGGTTCTTTCTCCATGGACTCTGCTGCCACGTGCTAGACAGGGGAGTCAGACGGGATAGTGTCTCATAGGCTGTAAAGAATGGAGCCGCTGCACAGTCTGTGTCTCTGCTATAACCCCAGTTCTTACTGTGTTTCCAGGAAATTAGTTACTTCCAGTTCCCTGGAGAGCTCCTGATGAGGATGCTGAAGATGATGATCCTGCCGCTGGTGATCTCCAGGTGAGAGTGGGAGCTTTGGCCAGGTGGTCCGGAATGAGGAGGGGATAGGATGGCTTCTGCTCCTGCTGCGGGTGGCTGGACAGCAACCACAGGTCCCGGGAGGAGTGTGACTGTGGGGCCATTATGGGCAGTGCCGTGGGATGCTGGCTTCTGAGTCATTCAGTTGTTGGTCCCATCCAGTAGAATTTTTAGTGGACAAAACAGGTGATCTGGAGTGATAGGACATGACCTGACTCCAAGATAGCCGAAGGCCAGAAAGCTCAGAGATGGCTTCTCAGAGGAGGGGTTCATGGTGACGCAGCAAGGCCTGAGAAAAGAGAATTAACCCTGATGACACTCCAGTGATCATATCCTGACTCGGCTGTGTACTGTACTGGCTGTGTAACCTTGGACACATTATCTCACTTCCCTAAGCCTCAGTCTCCTCATCTGTAAAATGGGGATAACAACACCTACTTCGAACGGTTGTCATGAAGACTATATACTTGTGTATGCTGAGCACTCAGAAGGTTGGGTCTTGGGGACAAGGGAGGGATGACAGGAGATGAATTTGGAGGGTGAGCTCTTGCCCAATCATGAAAGACCTTGAACACCAGGCTGAAGAATTCAGGCCTCACCCAGTAGCGTGGGGGCCGTGGAACTCCTGGGAGACCACTTGGTCCCTTTCACGGATGTGCTAGGTGACCTTGAGCAACCCTATCCCTGTCCAGGTCTCAAATTTTCCAGATGTATAGTGAGTGGCAGCTCGAGGTGGTGTCTAAGAGCCTTGTGCTCTGAGGCCATGAGAAATCTTGATCTTCCAGGACTCCCTGCAGAGAGGAAACTGGACGAGCCTCTGCATGGGCTCTGCCTCCCTGCCTCCCTGCCGCTGAGCAGTGAGCCAGCTCCTCAGCCCCCTCCCCTTTTCGAAGTAGAGATAATCCCCAGGCAAAGGGCACTTGGCGTTTTCTGCACAGAGGCTCTTGCAAGCAGCATCTAAATCTCTCCGGGCTCAGCCTTCAAGGCTCTGCTGGAATGCTACCTCCCTCAGGAAGCGTTCCCTGACTGCTCAACTCACTATAGCTACTGTCTCCTCTTTCTGCATCTTTTGAGTCATTCACTGAACGGGTGACTCTGTCAGGGTCAGCAGTCCTCTACGTTGTTGAATCTGTGTGACATGTCCAGTTCTTTAACACAGCCTCTCGCCCTCGTGAAACCCCCTTCCCTGTGGACTCACACTCTTCTGACGTTTTGCCTGCTCTCGGCCCCACCTCCCCCCACCGCCCCATCCTGGTCTTTCTCCTTCTACTCAACCTCCAGATGATGCAGTTTCTCCAGCCTTTTCTCATCTAATCTCATAGTTTTAGTAGACCACCTACGAGCCCAGCGCTCCCAGATGGAAATCTTCCCAGACCTCTCCTCTAAGCCACACACTTCATTAACCAATGGCCCATTTGACATCTCCCCTTGGATGCTTCGCAAACATTTCAAGTTTTGTTTTGTTTTGTTTGAGACGGGGTCTTGCTCTGTCGCCCGGGCTGGAGTGCATAGGCACAATCTCAGCTCACTGCAGCCTCGACTTCCCAAGTTCAAGTGATCCTCCCACCTCAGTCCCCCAAGTAGCTGGGACCACAGGGGCACCACCACACCTGGTCATTTTTTGTGAGAGGCGGGGTCTCATTGTGTTGCCCAGGCTAGTCTCCAACTCCTGAGCTCAAGAGATCTACCCGCCTTGGCCTCCCAAAGTGCTGGGATTACAAGCATGAGCCACTGCGCCCGGCTCAAGTTACCAACTTGAAGTTTTACCCAGCAAATTGCCTCCTTTTCCTGTTTTCTTCGTGTCCGCAAATGGCATCTCCATCACCCAGGTCTTCCATCAGGCCTGTTGTTGGCTATTCCCTTTCTCTCAACCCCACAGCCTCATCTGCAAGGCCAGCAGATTCTGCCTCCTGTTGAAGGTAGCTTCCTCCCCGCCCTACAGGCCCAGGAAATCTTTACTCACGTCTGGATTCCACGGCAACCTCACGTGGTCTCCTCACCTCACTTCTTTTCTCCCTACCCCACCGGCATCCATTCCACCCAGTGGCCAGAAGGATCTCGAGAAAAGTGGATAGGGCCCTGCCCCTCATTGACCTTCAACGGCTTCCATGACGTGGAGGATCAGCCTGCAGCCCGTCAGCCTGGTCTAGGAGGCCCTGCGTGATCTGCCCTGCTCACCCACCTCATCCCATGTTGCACCCTCCCATCCCACCAGCCTCGGGTTCCCTGAGCCGACCAAGCCCTCTCTACCTCAGGGCCTCCACACGTGCTGTTCCTTCTGCTGGAACACACTTCCCCAACAACTTAGGTCTCTTCTTCCACCTCTTCCCTTCCATCTCGACTTGCACATCCTCTTCTTAGGAAGGCCTCCCCCTGGCCCCTTCACGCCACCCTGGCTCTCCCTCACTGTGCCCTGTTCCCTTCTGTGCCACAGCACGTATCACGTGTTGTCATTCCACGTGCATTCACTTGTCACTTTCTTCTTTACCTTCCACTGCGCTGTAAGCTTTGTTGATGACGCTCTTCTGTCTAGATTCAACTCTGGGTTGTCAGCACCTAGCCAAGCGACCAGCACGTAGTAGGTGCTCATGAATACTGGTCAAGTGAATTAATGAATGAATCCAGCAATCATGCATTGTGCTTTCTGGACACTTGGCCCTGTGCTGGGTGCAGCAGACACAGAGATGATGGAGAGACTGTCTCTGCCCTTGAGGTGTTCACTGACTGCTGGGCGACTGAGAGAACAGACAGTCACTGCAGAGCTGCGTGAGTGCACTGGTGGGGGAAACCAGGACCCTGGGCAGGCGGCTCTGTCCGCCCTTTCCTGCTCACTGTCCTCACTGCCCTGGCACTGTCCCTCTCTCGGAACAGAGGCTCCTCAGAGGCCACTGTGTGGACCCTGGAGTCAAACAGCCTGGCCTTGCTATGAATTAGCTGTGTGGCCTTGGACAAGTCACTCAAAATAAAACAAAAAAATCCTGTTCCGAAGTCAGAGGCCTGGGTCCTCGACCCGCCTCCACCATGAGCAATCACGTGATCTGGGGTGAGGCCCCCAACACTGGGCCTCTTTACCCAGCAACGAGGGCCCGCCCGGCTCTCCACCTTCTGGCTCTCAAACGCCTGGTCTCCCTCCACCAGACCCAGGGTTCTCTTAGCTGGAAATGGCTTGTGGTATGAACTTGAGAAAAGCCAGGACGTGTTCGCACATTTCATATGTTTATTATAGAGTTTGGACTGGCGCAGAGCAACCGTGTCCCTGAGAAATGGAAGTGCTTTAACATTTTCCTACAAAGGGAGAATTAAACCTTCATGGGGGAAAATGACGCATTTCTGAGCCCTAAAGCCCTGGTTCCTGAACCCTCCCTCCTTCGGCCTCAAACTGGCCTATTATCCGAGCATCTGTCCATCCATGCTGTCCCCCGAGCTCTTGCTCCTGGCCAGCCCGGGGCTGGGCATCCCTGCCCTCGAGGAACAGCCACTCTGGTGCGAGGTTGTTACTCAGAGCAGAGCAAAATCACCAGAGCTGCTCAGAAAAATTCCGACGTCAGGCCTGACCCTGGGCTGACTGAACCAGAAGCCCAAGGGGTCCAAGCAGGGGTTTGCTTTCAGAGCTGGAAAGTGTTCTGAGGATTTTAAACCGCCTGATTGTCCTGGCTCCACAATCAGACCTTCTGGCTCCACAGCGCAGGGGCCCAGCAGGAGGCTGTGGCACTCCCATCTCCGGGGGCTCCACGCTGTGACCCAGGAAGGCAAGGGTTTTCTGCAGTGCGTCCTGGCTACAGGGCAGTCGAGTGAAAGGTGGGGGGAGGTTACATTTGGGCTCACCTGTTTCCAGTTCCAACCACCTACAGGTCTGAGCCTTGAAGCCTGGCTCCCATGACATCTCTTGCCACCTACTCTCCAGGACAAATGGCCACTTTTTTCCCACGCCAAGCCCTGGAACCAGGCTGGAGACCCATTAGTCCCACAGCTTGCCACTGAGTTCTGTCCTCACACTCCTGCTCCTGCCCAGCCCCTGCCATGCACACCCTCTTTTAATTAAAGTCTCACTCTGAATTCAAGACGTAGCTCAAGGTTCTGTGTGGGGAGTCCCTCCGCCTCCCCATTTGTGGGTAAAATGGATGGTGACCTGTCTCCAACCCTGACGCTGTGTATGAGCTGAGTGTCCTTAGCACAGCGAACTTGGGGTCACAGCTGGCACGCCACACAGTGGGGGACAGACATCGTTTAGTCCAATAGTGACATCTATGTGAGCAAACGAACTCGCATGCCTATGTGGAAGAGCCGTTCATCTCACTGAACAAGAAGTGCCCCTGCGGAAGGGTAGGGCCGGAGACATGGCTCCTCCGTGGCCCGGGTCCTGGGCATCTTGGTTTTTGTCTGAGATACCGGGAGGGAATCGGGTCACTGGCCCCCTTGTCTTTCACACTGACCTCTGCCCCGTGCCCAGTGTCACAGCTTCATTCAGAGGCTGGAGATCTAAACAAGGAGCAGAGAGAGTGGTGGGTTTGAAGAAGTGTGGGTGGCTGCAAGGGTGGACGTGAGGGCTGAAAGGCCCCTGGGCTGCCATGGAGGGCCACCTGCTGGGAGAGAGACAGTCACACCTTGCTCCGGAGAAAGGAGGCCCAGTGGGAGGGCAGCGGGGCCAATGGGGGTGGAGCTGAGTTCACTCTTCCCACAACCTGGCATCTTCCAGCTGTGGGCTCTCTTTTTTCCAGAACTTTTCCAACCCAGCCCCTGGCCCAAGTCCCTCCTCAGACAGGTGCGCCTCAGTCCAGCTGAGTGCAGCCCACGCTTGACCAGGGGTGGCTTCATCTGTCACAATGTGGCGGGGGAGCAGACAGCACAGGCGGGGGCGGCTGAGATGTGCAAAGAGTACCGGGCAGGAACAGGGCTCTGGAGTCACTATCTAGACGGGCAAACATAAACAAGCCTTTTAGCATCTGAGCCTCTGTGTCCTTATCTATAAAGTGGGAAGAATA